GTGACTCAGGTTATGTTCTATTTTGGTGACTGTCCTATGTGCACTGAAAAAGAATATGTATCTGGTGTTCTAGGTTGGAGTGTTTAATAAATATCTACTAAATCCTGTTGGCTAATTGTATTGTCTGTTCTCATAATATTGACCTCACTAATTTTCATTCTGCTTGTTCTATTATTGAGAAAGTAATGTTAAAATCTTTTCTGTAGCTGTGGATTTGCCTTTATCCCTTCACTTTGGTCAGTTTTTACTTCATAAAAACTGGTGGGTGCATACATACTTAGTATTATTATGTACTCTCATGTCTATCGCATTGCTTAACATGACTATATATAATGTCTCTCTTTATTGTTGGTAATTTTCTTTGCTTTAAACTCTGTGTTGTCTTATACAGCAGACACCCCCTTACTTTGTGAAAGTTTGCTATAGGACACTTTGCTTTTCTAAAAGACCTACCTGTTTATTGAAAGAAATTTAAAGAGGGTTTTACTTTAAGGACAGAGCAAAAAGCAAAACCAGCATTCAGTGTTTGTTTTGCAGAAGCCATTATAGAGACTTTGTAGCAAAAGCAGCAAAAGCAACAGGAGCTGTGCTGCCTAGCTTCATTGGGTGGTTTGGTTTGGTTTGGTTTGTTTGGGGTGGGGTGGGGGATGGGGACTACTTTATACAAGCTACCATTCCAGCTTTCCCTGTGTGCTAGTGTGCATTTAGATTGCGTGATATTTGTTATAATTTAGGAGATTATTTTGGGGTCTGGAGATTCTCAAAATTTTTTTTTCATATGAATTAATAGTAATTGCTTCTTTAGTTCATATCATTTTCAGCTTATGAAAGATTTTTCTGGAAAGACCTACTTTCAGACATCAGGTAAAAACCTGCAGTAGAGTTGCTGTTGCTTTCTTTTGATTAGTGTTTTCATGCTAGACTTTTTTTTAATCCTTTCACATTAAGCCTATCTATATCTTCATATTTGAAGTGAGTCTCTTGTACATTTATAACTGCATCTGAGTCCAAGGTCAAGTAGGAGGACAGAAAGAGGAAAAAGCTGTGACATCTGGCTCCACTCTCTCAGAGCTGCAGTTTCACTGGTAGAGAGAAAGGCTCCTCTCTTGCAGAGTTTTCCATCCTGGAGGCTCATGTTAATGGCTACGTCCACTGCTGCCACAAGAGTGCTTGTGGTGGAGCACAGAGAATGGGGAAGAGGTCTTGTCTCTGTAGCACCTGATGTTGAGTATCAGAGGAAGAGGGAGATGGTAAACTCACTGCTGACACTGTGGAACCTTGAATTCTCTTTTACTTCCCCAATCTCCAAGCTACTTTCCATAACCCTCAAATGGCTGTTTTTTGCATTATTCCAAGTGTCAAAGTTCTGTATAGTGTGAGCAACAAGGCAAATGATGTTTACACCATCTTACACAGATTCAGAATCTTAAAATAAATTTTAAAGCCTATAAAATGATATAATTTTATTTTTATTCAAAGACTTAACAGTGGAGGATGATTAGTGCTTCCAGAATGCTAGTCCCAAGTTTTTTCCATGTTGAATCTGGTCCTCTAGATATCTGGGCTCAGCTTCCACTGATGAATTTCAAGTCAGTAAAACAAGTCTGATTAAACTCTTAGACTCTCAGGGACACTAAACACTAACTGACCACAGACTCGTGTCACGTTCTTTCCATACCTCCCACACTTGCACTATCTCTGATTTTACTTCTTATTCCTTCAACTGCTCCTTAAAAGTGTGTCTGAGTTGCAGATTCATTGTCCTTCTCATTCTACAAGTGTCCCTAAGTAATCTCAGCCCTCAATTTTCCATTAGCATGCTTATGGCTTTTAAGTGTTTATCTCTACTCCAGAGGTTCCTCTTGAGTTCTCCATAAACATTGCTCTCTAGACATTTCTGCCTCTATACACTGTAGGCACCACAAACTCACTTTTCTTTCCATAAGGGACATTCTCAAGCAGTCAGCTGCCCACTAAAAACAATGTTGCTTGAATCGCTACTGCACCTTTCTTTCCACAACATTAACACAATTGTTGAATTAATACCATTGTTTTGGTCAATTCATTTCCTTAATAGTTTTGGAATTCATCTTTATTCTTTTTTTTTTTCCAAAGATTTATTTTATTTATACATACAAGAACTGGGGTGCAGGCCAGAGGTGCAGGGGGTGAGGGGATCCACCAGAGACAGAGTGGGGAACAGAATAGGTGATTGAAGTTTAGATAAGGGGAGGGGAGTAGTGGGTGAGACAGGAGAGGTCTACTGCACCATGTAGGTAGCTCCCTGGCCTTCAGGGATCGAACTCATGCTGTGGATAGCTTCATAGTGCTGCAACTGAACCCCTTGTGTCACCAGGGAGGCCTGGGATTCATCTTTGTTCTATCTCTACTGCCACCTTGTCTGGGCTATTCTCCTGTATTCTAAGATATTTTGCCTGATACCTTTGAACTTATTCTTGCTTCCTTTCACTTCATTTTCTTACATAGCCAGGGTAATCTTTAAGAAATATATATTTATCTTGTCACTGTTTTCCTTAAATCTTGTAGAATTTATTATTTTTCTAATGATTCACTTCTTAAATTCTTGAAATAACTGTACATTTTGCTGTTCTGAATATGAAATGAGTTCCTCAGATTTAGAAATGAAATAGCCATTAGGAACATATGTGGTGTGAAATTCAGAACAGGTAACTTTAATTTTTTTTTTTTGGTCTCACTGGCAAAATTCCACCAAACGCTGTTATTATTCTTGTAACTGTTTTGTTAATGGAAAATGGTGTAAATGTTTTAGATGCATTTTAGCTTTCTGATCACAGAGGCTCATTCAGTATCTTATGAAAAGTAATTTACTAAATGATTGTAGTGCTCTGGAAGGGTTTAGTCAGATGACGCTATCAACAGGTATTCACTAATTGGCTCATTTTGTGAAAATTTATGACAAGATTAATGTTGCCTTAAGTGCTGCTCTGCATTTGTTGACAGACTTAGAGGAGATCAGAGTTTGAATAGATGTAGAAAATCAGCTAATAAAAGTGAGTACAAAGTACTAATGTAAGTACACACAGTGCCTGTATGAAACTACTGCATGTTAAAAAAAATAGTCCTAACTTGGTCAAAACTGAGCATAGAAATGTGGCTCTGTGAGCAACCTGCCTGCTTTATTACAGCCTGTGCTTTATGAAAACTATTGTCCAGAGAGACAACAGCACAGAGAGAAGAATCAATGTACAGAGAGAAAGATGAAATCAAAGTTCACATAATTCTTCATCTGAAGATATTTTCTTCTACTAGTTATTCTATTCTCAAGAGAGGGACACTTAGACCTACTCTTTGAAATACAGGAGTTTGTATATAACAAAGTCTATGTAGATTGAGAAATGTGTTTTCCCAATAAGGGACTCTTAGTTCAAAGGTTGAGGAAATGAAGGGATAAGTAAGAGAAAAGGAGAAGGCAGATCATGAGACAAAAGATGTGGAGAGAAGAATGAGCTTGGGGGCCTCCCTGGTGGCACAAGGGGTTAAGCATAACACTGTGAAGCTACCTGCAGCCTCTGCAGCATTATTTCCATCCCTGGCCAGAGGGCTACCCACATGCACAGCAGACCTCTCCTGACTCACCCACTGCTCCCCTCAGTCAATCTGCCTGTTCTGTTCTCCACTCTGTCCCTGGTGAATCCTATCACCTCCCACACCTCTGGCCTGTACCCCAGTTCTTGTATGCATAAATAAATAAATCTTTAAAAATAAAAAAGATATAAGTAGTTTTCTAAGAATAGCATTGGTACAACTTTATAAAAAAAAAAAAAGATTTATTTATTTATTTATTTATTTATTTATTTATTTATTTATTTATACAAGAACCGGGGAACAGGCCATATGTGCAGGAGGGTGAGAAGATTCTTTGTGCAACTTTTTGTTGCCATAGCTATACCAAGGGAATATCTGGGGAACCTAGGCTTGCTAGATATATGTGTGTGCTATTATTACTTTGTGATATGCTCACTCTAGTTGTCATCTTATATAACAGATCTTAAGTTTGCCTTTCTCATTGGTATTTCATCTGTTGTTGTTCTTTGACTCATATGTATTATCTATTTTCTCCTATGATCAATGACAAAAAATATTCATTTCAATGCTTATTTACCTAATAGAAGAATAGAGATGCATATATCAGTTAGTATATAGGTTCAATTGCTGTAACTAAGATACTTAGTATAACAGTAGCTAAAACAAGACAGATAATAACTTCTCCCATAGGGTGTGAGTAGGAATTCTGAAGTTGGCATATGGTAGCTCCACTTTCATCATAGGCCTCTGATCAGGCTTCTTCTGTCTTAGTGCTCTACCACCCTGAACTCATGGTTTCCATCATGTGCTCCAACTAGATCATCTGCATTTCAGCCAACATACAGGAGAACAGGTGGAAAGGAAAGTCATGTTCATGTCATGTTTACTCACATCCCAATGGCTAGACCTTGATCAAATGACAGCACTTAGCTGCAGAGCAGACTGGGAAATGTGTTCTTTATTTGGGCAGTCAGATTGCTAAGTAAGAAGGAGAAAATGGATGTTGCTGCACAACTGGAACTTGCCTCCATAATTAGTGTACTCAGGTTTCTACTGTCAGTCAGCTTAAAATACTCTACAAGCAATTTTTTAAAATAACACATAAAAGCATGATAAAATAAGTATGAAATAAGGATTATATGAAACACTATTGATTAAGGAGATAAAAGCTTGAGTACAACATGCTTATCATCTGAGGAACAGAAAGGAAATCCAGGAACAGGGCCATGGGACTGTGGATTTAGATAAAGGAGGAAATTCCTGACTGAGAGAGTAGAATGTCTGATGAAGTTTATAAAAAGATGGAGATTAATGTACTTAGATCTTTTGCAAATCTTTAAGTTTCTTAAAAAAGAATTTTCTTTTTCAGATATTTTTTACTCATCAGACTGAATAAAGTCCTTGATTTTCTTTCTGTTTCTTTCCCTTTTCAGGATGCTTTTCTGGAAACAATTATCACCTTTTGGCAATTCATCAGAAGAGTGGGAAGCCAGCCTTTATTTATCACCATTCACAAGACATTGAAAAGAGTCTAGATGTAACTCCACACAAGATCTATAAACACAACTACCGTTCTTCCCATGCTCAAATAAGCAAACACCACCAAATTGTTAATTCAGTATTTCCTAGACCTGCATATGACCCATCTCTTAATCTGTTGGCTTTGGCTGGTCAAGATCTTGAAGTGGAAAACCTTCCTATTCCAGCAGCAAATGTGATTGTTGTGGTAAGTACTGCATTAATTGATGCTGGTGCTTTCTTCTGTATCTTCGCCATAGGGGTGGGGAGGTGGAGGATAGTAATGTTGAATAGTAATCAAATCTCACCCATATGTACCATAGCACTTCTCATTCTCTGATATTTCTTTGCTTTTACTAGATTATTGTCTGTTTTCTTCCTCTTGAATGTAAAACAATGAAATAGGAAAGTTTATTCGTACTCTTTGTGCATTACACAGTGCATGGTCCATAGTAGGTGCTTAAAAAATATTTGATTTTAAAGTTGATCTAGGAAGGCCTTACCATTCCAGCAGATCATATCATGAACTGAGCCCCCTGCCTTCAATCATGATGTGTTCTAGGAGAGGCCTTTGTGTCAGTTTAATGTAAATAAATAGAATACTTATTGAAGATCTTCTGGTCATGTGACTCAAATTGTAAGAAATCATGAAACCACTAAAAGGGAGGAAATGTAGTTTCAGGGTAGTTTTCTGTCATAATAGCAAATAAGATATTTTGGGATTGATGGATAGCATTTCTAATATCACTGAACAAGTATCAACCTTCATTCATCAAGACAGTACAACAGTACTGTTGCTTATGTACTTAAGGTTTATAACCCAGTCACAATGTCTCAATTTGTGGAGCTATGATAGTTTAAAATACTTACTTGCCTTGACCCTTATTTTGACCATTGTTCCTCTCAAATTAAAAATCTCAAAAAGAGAATCCATTTAGCTACATGGCTATTGCATTGCTATCCAAAAATATAATTAAATGTCTTAACTTTTAAGGCCAAAATGATTCAATGAAAACATTTTCATTTTGATAATCTCTCTATGCATCAAATATAATCAACTTTAACAAGTTTTTCTTCTTTCATTTTTTAAAATATACTACATGTAGAATACATTATTTAGTGTTGAGAATCAAAAACCCATTCATTGATGTCTTCAACTATCATCCATTGACTATTTTTGATTCACTCATAATTTGGGGTATCTAGAATTAGTCTCTGATTTTTACTTGGAAATGTCTGGGGGTAAATGTCAGTAATTCAATAAAGTCACAAATTGAGAATACAGGATGAGCTCTTCAGAGAAAATATGTGGGTCATTTGGCCTCCTGAAATACATGAACATATTTTCTGCATTTATATGAGTAACAGATGTTCTGAAGGTGAAAGTCATGTACTCTGCCTATTCACTGAAGATAAATGATGTTAATGATGTCGCTGTATTTGGATATGCCTGTGATAATGCAAGAGCTCATGGGAGACATTTTGTCCTGTGACCATCATATACCCATAGTCATCAACTCTTATAGTCACTTTGAATTACAGTTCTAGAGGTTGATCCTGTCTTGCAATGTCATGTACTAACTGGTTTAATTAAGGCATCAATGAGGAATTCTGGCAGGTCATTTCACTTTTGCTTTATCTATAGTTTAAAGATTCATGAAGAAGCTTTTTCTTTTCTTTTGGGTGATGATTACATGGAAGCAATAGACAGTTTTTCTACATTAGCCTACTCCTGGACCTAGCCTCTATGCTGTGGTTTTGGATGTTCGCAACAACTGTTATTGATAATGTTCCCTGTAATCCAGTTATATCACTTATGCACATGGCGATTTAGTAGGAAAACCAAGTATGTGGGTGGGGTTTTTTAAAAATTATGTTGATTGTGCTCAGTTTGCTCAAAAAGCAGAGGGTCAACATCATTCAGTTATCAACTGGTTTAAAAGTTCATTCTGTCCATAAAAGAGACTAAGGAATGGAGTGTAGGTGAAAAAGGGGCTATTTTGAGGTAGCTAAATGATTTTGGTGTTATAACTGATGTGTGTTTGTGTGGGTAGGACATACAAGAATAAGAAATATATGTCATACATATTAAACTATTATGTATGTGTGTATATACAGTGTATATAACCTCTGTAGTACCAAATCAATTAATATATGTGCTCCAAGTATAATTTATATATGTGTGTATAAATAAATAAATATATATAATAAACATATTATATATGCACACATATACATACTTGAGACCATATTGTTTCAGGAATATTACTGTGGCACCAAAGAATTATTTTGTAGCTGAATTTATACCAAATGAACAGTGTTAGTAAGTATCAGTTTCCTGAATTAGGGAAATTATTGTTTTTATTTTCAGCTACGGTAGAAAAGCCACCCCATTCTGCAAAATTTTTGTATAACTTGTAAGGCTTCCTAGCTCAGAACAAGTCACTTTCCTCCCTCTTGTATATTTTTCTTTCTTGTTTCTGGCATCATAAAGACAGTGAGCTTTAGAATAAGAAATTTAACAGGGACTTGAAAGAGGCATCTGTCCCTATCCCTGTCCCTATTTCCTTTCATAAGAACATTTGTCCACAATTGATTTCCCCCTTTCTTCTATGATCAGGAGAATCTGTGATTTATTTATTCCAAGAAAAGGGCAGCAGAATTAAAATATTTATTCCAAAGAAGGCTAATTATGTTCCAGATGCTCAATTCAGATGCTTTTGTCAGGATTTCTGTATAGATTTCTGTATATTTTTTTTTTTTTTTTTTTTTTTTTTATAGAGGCATGCTTTATTTATTTGTTTGCTGGTTTGTTTGTTTGTTTTGTTTATACAAGCACTGGGTACAGTCAGAAGCGCGGGAGGGCGAGAGAATTCACCAGAGCCAGAGTGGGGAGCAGAGCAGGCAGAAGGACCGAAGGACACTGCTGAGGGGAGCAGCGGGCGGCAGGAGAGGTCTGCGCGCCATGTGGGACCCTCCTCTGGTGGCCGGGGAGCAGCCGGGGATCGAACCGGCGCCGCAGAGGCCGCGCGCAGCTTCGCAACCCAGCGCTCAACCGCTGCGCCACCGGGGAGGCCCTAGATTTCTGTATAGATGCAGCATAGGGGGAATGCAAATGTCCTCAAGGTCGGTGCTATAATAGGAGTTAAAAAACAAAACAAAAAAACTCTAGTGTCTTTAACCAAATTCATGCTGAAAGTTCCACAGTGCTCATCACTAGCTTCCCAGGTATTCACTAAGCCACAAAGCCATAACATCAGGAAGGAGGGGCCCCAGGAGTGTGAGTGAAGATGGTGGTGGAAGCAGCTGTAGACCTTTTCAGTTCTGTAAGTTCAGCACAGCTTGCTGCATGAAGAATGTTTTAGCCTTGACAAAATCTAAGAAAATGGGAGGTTTGGAAATGTTTGGCGATTATCGCTGACTCTATAGGAGTCAGAGAAGGAAAATAAAAGGACTTCAGGAAGGGAAAATAAAAGAAAAAAGAGTAGAGAAGGACTAGGGGGAAGTAGAGAACGGCAAGGACAGAAACGGGAGGGGAGAGAAAATTAGGAGGAACCAGGAGGGAGGGAGAAGGAGGGGAAAAAAGAAAAGGCAGTGGGAAGACTCCTCTGAGTACATAAAATGGTCAGGAGTGTCCAGGAGGCGAAGATGCTGTCTGCAATATTCCTAAAAAAAAGTTTCTCAACTTGTTCACCACTCACCTAGACTAGCACACAGACAGACACATCACTGTACTATCATACTATTTAATCTTTAATATAAAGGTTATAAAGGTTATTAAGATCTAAAAGAAAAGAATGACAATGAGACATCACAGGTGAGTAGGAAAAGATTACTAATCATGTGATGTTGGCACAACTAAATATCTATTTGGCAAAAGATAATTATGAGGGCCTCCCCTGGTGGCGCAGCAGTTGAGCGCTGGGCTGCGAGGCTGCCTGCAGCCTCTGCAGTGCCAGTTCGTTCCCCAGCCGCCAGCGAGGGTCCCACAACAACAACAAAAAAAGATAATTATGATTTTGTATATATAGTATGCTAAGCACTGTGCTCAGAATTGTGCAATTCTTCTATAATCATTACAAAAATCCTATGGAAAGCTGTCTAGAGGTTCCTCAGTCTACTAAAAATGGAGCTACCATATGACCCAGCAATTCCACTCCTAGGGATTTACGCAAAGGACACAAAAACATTGATTCAAAAGAACACCTGTACCCCTATGTTTATTGCAGCACTGTTTACAATAGGTAAAACCTGAAAACAACCCAAATGCCCAAAAATGGATGACTGGATCAGGAAGATGTGGTATATATACACAATGGAATACTATTTAGCAATCAAAAAAAGATAAACTCATGCCATTCGCAGCAACATGGATGGAGCTAGAAGGAATTGTGCTCAGTGAAATAAGCCAGAAGGAAAAAGAAAAATAGTGGATGGTTTCACTTATAACAGGAATATAGGGGAACCAAATAAGACATCAGAGGAAAAATAATAACAGTACAAAACACACAAAAAAAACCCAAAACAAACAAGTATAAACCAGAGATAGCCTGCAGGGGAGGAAGAGGGAGAGGGATCGGAGGGAGGGAGAGAAGCACAGGGGACTGTGGTGATGGTGCACTGAAGAATCGGTGGAGGAAATTCTATGGGAACTACACCTGAGGGGAAAAAAAAGCAAACATAGTTTTAAAATGAACAATGATGTAAAATGTATGTAAATAAATTAATTTAAAAAATCAGGTGAAAAATCCCAAAATCCTGTGAAAATAACCAAGCCTTTAACTTCATTTCCCTGTTTCATCATTCCGCCTTTCTTTCCCTTATAAGCTACTGCAATATCCATATGATTAGTCCCTCTGCACCCACCATTTCCCACTTTTGTCTGAATGATCTGCAGCAAACATAAATCAGACCATAACACCGCACACACACACTCACACACACACACACACACACACACACAGCCTTTCCTTTCCCATAGGGATGAAACCCAGTCACTTCCCTTTGCCAGGATCTACATGATCTTACACCATCTGGGATCCAATAGCCCCAAAACCCTTCCCTACAGATTCTGACTCCACAATTATGAGAAGCGTCCCAGAAATTTGCATTCAAGAAGCATTCTGGGAGATTCCTGGGTTTTGAAAACTTAAGAAGTGTTACAGGGCAAAGGGTCTAAAAGACTGCACAGGGCAGGACCTCCTCTGG